TTTCTCTCTCTCTCTCTCTGTTCCTCTCTCTCCCTCCCACTCTACCTGAACTAAAAATGGAAAAATGTCCTCGGGTGAGGATAAAAAAAAAAAAGAGTATTTTATATGTTCTAGATGCAAATCACTTATCAATATATGATTTGCAACATATTTTCTCCCAGTCTGTGGGTCCTTTTTTCACTCACTTGATTGTGTCCTTTGAAAGACAAATGTTTTCAAATTTTATAAATTTATAAAGTCCAACTTGTTGCCCAGCCGGTGTGGCTCAGTGGTTGAGCATTGACCCATGCACCAAAAGGTGGCTGGTTCAACTCCTGGTCAGGGCACATGCCCAGGTTGTGGGCCCGATCCCCCGTGGGGGGCATGCAGGAGGCAGCCAATCATTGTTCTCTCTCATCGATGTTTCTGTCTCTCTCCCCCTCTCCCTTCTTCTCTCTCTAAAAGCAATAAAGAAAAAAAAATTAATAACCAATAATAAGTCAAACTTGTTGATCGTCTCTTTTATCTTGTACTTTTGGTGTCATATCTAAGAAATCATTGCCTAATCCAAGATTGTGAAGATTTATTCCTAGATTTTATTCTAAGAGTTTTATAATTTATCTCTTCCATTTAGGTCTGTGATCCACTTTGAGTTGATTTTTGTGTATATATACCTTTTTCAAAAATGCATGTATTGACGCCCTGGCTGATATGGCTCAGTTGGTTGGGCATCATCCTCTGCACCGGTTCCATTCCTGGCCAGGGCACATGCCTGAGCTGCAGGCTCAATCCCTGGTAGGGGACATTCAGGAGGCAATGATCTATGTTTCTCTCTCTCTCTCCCTCTCCCTTTCTCTTTCTCTAAAAATCCATTTTAAAAATTCATGTATTGAAGTGTAATTTACATTCAATAAAATTTACCAATTTTAGTCATTCTATATTGTTGGATAATTTTTCCTGGGAAGTTAGGGAGAGAAAAAAATTGAGTACCCATTTTCTCTCCTTATGCCCCACAATTTTGTTTATAAGTGTGAGAGAGTGGGGGAGAGAGATAGAAAAAGAGAAAGAGAATCAGCTTCTTAGGGGTCCCACTTATTTTGGCTTTCTCTTGCAGCCCCATGGATCCATTTAATTATATATAGATTGAGTGAATGAATGCAGTAATCAAGTGACAGTCCATCAGTGTCTGCTTTCAGAGTCACAGACCGAAGACCACATGACCACAGATACTGCCATTGTTGGGATGGGGATGAAGACTCTTCGGCTGGGTCCCTGCATGGATGTGTCTGGGTTTAATGGGCTGTCTTCTAATTTGTGATTCTTTCATAAAGAGCCCCTCTTTCAGGATAATTACCGAGTCCTGCAGTTGTCTATTAATTGGGCCTGGTTTTGGTGCCTCATGTGTCCTCAGCCTTATGCTGGGATGCCCCAGCAGCACTTGGCCACCTCTGCCAGGAAAAGCAGGATATGGCTGACCCAGACACTGAGCTGGGGAACCAGGAATAGAAGGACCAGGAGGCAGAAGACCACACTTCCCATCTTAGCCCTACAGCCCTGCTCACTGAGCCACCTTGGGCCTCCACATTTCCTTCTTTTTTTTTTTTTACTTTTTTTTTATCCTCACCCAAGGACATTTTTCCATTCTTTGTTCAGGTAGAGTGGGAGGGAGAGAGAGGAAGAGAGAGAGAAACATCGACGTGAAAGGGACACATCGAGTGGCTGACACCTGCACAACCAACCAGGGCCGGGGACAAACTGCAACCGAGGTACGCGCCCTTAGCGGGAACCGAAACTGGGTCTCTCCGGACCGCAGGCTGACACTCAACCACTGAGCCAAACCAGCCAGGGTGTCCACATTTCCTTCTGAACTAGGAGGTAAAACTAAAGGAACCTTTTTGTTTTTCCTGGTGCCCTGACTGGAGATTGAACCTGCAACCTAGGCTTATTGGAACAATGCTCCTACTGAGTTACCTGGCCAGGGCTTATGAAAGGAAACTTTAGTCCTGGCCGGTTTGTCTCAGAGGTTGGAGCGTCAGCCCACAGACCAAAGAGCTGAGGGTTCGATTCTGGTCAAGGGCATGTATCTATCTCAGTTGCAGTTTGGTCCCCGGCCCTGGTTGGGGTCATGCGGGAGGCAGCCAGTCGATGTGTCTCTCTCACATCAATGTTTCTCTCCTCTCTCTCTCCCTCCCTCCCTCCCACTCTATCTGAAGATAAATGAAAAAATATCCTCGGGTAAAGATTAAAAAAATAAGATTAATAAAATTTTAAAAAGAAAGGAAACTTTTACAGGGTGCTTAATATATATGCCAGGCTTAGAAAAATATAGCTTAGAAGTAATGCTGTCTAAGCACATTACTCCAAAATGTTTTTCACAAGAATTTATTAAGGTTATATGTTGACATGACTGTTATTAAGATGGTAGCTTTTGGAAAGATGGTAGAGGAAAGCAGGACCGGAGGGGGAAGAAGTCAAAGGTGGTCCCTACTGTGCAGGGTGCTCAGCAGGCAGCTCTGCCACAGCTCAGACCCCCATCTCTTGCGGGGCCACTGTCTTCCTCACTATTACCCCCATTTTACAGCTGAGGAAACTGAAAGTGACTTGCTCAAGGTCATCAGCTTAGAAATATCTGAGCCAGGATTCAAACCCACATTTCACTATCTCCACTGCATGGCGGCCTCAGCCAAGGACATAGCCTTTACTATTCCTCTACATGAGGTGACAGGTATAATAGAAGAACAAAGTGTTCCTACCCTGCCCTCTTTTTTCCTTAGCCTGAGAGTCTGAGGCTGGCAGAGGAATCTTGCATTGTCTGAGCCAAGGGAGAGGGGGATGCTCAAGAGAGAGGTGTCCCACAGAGCTGGATGGATACTCAGTAAGTACGTACAATGAGATCAGAACATTGCTAAGCTTTCAACACTGCAGTCATTAAGGGGGAGGCAAGGGAAGGTAGAGGGGAGTCATAAAAGGGCTAGAACTTGCTCTGGGCCTTAAAGGAAGGACAGGCTTTGCAGGCAAGAAAGGGTCCACATCCCTCATATAGGGCACTGTAATGAGCAGAGTCTGGGGCTAGAAAAGGGGGCAGGCCACACTGACCTGTACCAAAAGAAGCAGAGTGGCAGGGAATATCTTGGATAGGCTGACTAGGACCCAATACCAAAAGCTGAGAGGCAGATAGCAGAATCTGATAATAGGGAGCTAGTGCAGGTCCTAGAGTAGTATCTTGAATAGGTGGGAAATAGAAATAAGGGAGGGAATCGTATACAAAGGGAGGTAATCGGTACAAATTTTGTAGGCCTAATAATATGACTTCTGAAAGCGTTTTTCAAAGTTGGACTTCAGTCTTAGCAAAAAGGAGCCTGCCCCATCTTCCTTTCAAAAGCCCAATGTCTGGGGCAGAGCTTCCTGCTACATCTTAGGAGGCCCAAGAACTACCACCCAGGAGCTCTTCTGTCCTGCTTGTGGAGATTTTCAAGCGCTGTGAAGATGAAAAAGCCCGTCTAGCTTCAGAAGAGGGTTCTCAGCTGAGCTTTCTTGAGAACCCAAGCTTTCCTCGGGCACCAGTCTAACCGAGTGTGCTTACTGCCTCCTAGTCCTGGAGAGGGGTTAATGCTTGTTGTGCCATCCAGCCTCCATGTACCAATAAGACTCTTCTGAAGCAATACACAGTTGTTTTTCTTGCTCCATTTTTGAAGCCAAGGAAACAGCCATAAGCATTGGCACTGATCTCAACTCATGGGAAAGTGACCCTCAGACACCACGCAAATGTTGAGCTTGCTTCACTCCCAGCTCCCACCCTGAGGGCCTGGGTGGATAATAGGTCAGCTATGGTCAGAAGAAGATGGACATGGAAGGGCATGGGCCTCTGTTTATTAATCTGTAAAATACTACAAACCCCTGCCGGATCCACACTTCACAAGGTGGCTATTAGGAGGATTTGCTCAGAAAATGAGTGTGAGGGTGCTTCAAAAATTGCTCTCACCATTTTCAAATCTAGTTCTAACCCAAATTCATTCATTTTGGGGAACAAGTCACTCAGTTCTACCAAAGAGATGTGTCTTCTAAACCATCTCAAAGTCCAGGACCCTGTGTCAGAATCCCTGATGAACATGCAGATTCCTAGGTCTCTTCTCCAGCACCCTTGCTCAGAATCTCCACCAGGGATCTGTTTTTATTTTTTTTTCCCGATATTTTGTTCAGATAGAGTGGGAGGGAGAGAGAGAGAGAAGAACATCTACGTGAAAGGGACACATCGAGTGGTTGCCACCACACGACCCAACCAGGGCCGGGGACAAACTGCAACCGAGGTACGTGCCCTTAGCAGGAACTGAACCCGGGTCTCTCTGGACCGCAGGCTCTAACCGCTGAGCCAAACTGGCCAGGACAGGGATCTGTGTTTTAACTGGGGACCCAAGAGATCTGACTATACACTCAAGTGGAAAAACTACTTTTACAGTTGGGCAAACAAGGCCTATCTGGGACCAGGAAGAGAAACAGAGAGATAACTCTCCAAAGGCAAGTGTGGGAGGGCTGCCTGACAGTCACAGGGAGTGAGAAGTGGAAAAGGCCTTGGCTTTCATCTGGCCCAACCCCAGTTTCACTGATAAGAACATTGGGGCCCAGAGAGTACAATGAGTCCAAGTCACCCAAGGCATTCATGAAGACAGGTCTGTAATGCCCTTGTCTCTGGGGCCTCATTCCTCCTTCCTTCACCTCCATGTACATGAGTGTCTGTATGTGCGTTGTATGTTCCACACCTGCCTGGACCACACCTCCCAGTGGCAGGTCATGTCCCTCTCTGAACCCTACTTTCCTTGTCTAGTAAGAAGCTTGAAGGAAATAGGTTTGGGTTTTTTGTTTGATGTTTTTACCTATTTTAGAGAGAGAGAAAGGTAGAGGGAGAGGGAGAGGGAGAGAAACATCAATCGGCTGCCTCCTGCATGCACCTCAACCGGGGACCAAATCTGCAACTTGGGCATATGCTCAACCAACTGAGCCACACCGGCCGAGGAAATAATGTTTTGTAAAATCCATTTATTGATGTTTCTGCCCTATAGTCTTTTTATATCCAAAGATAAAATTTGTAATGTTCATGATTACAGCACTAATAGAACTTTCACCAAAAAAGTTTCTTGCAGTCCTTTCATTACCTGTAAGGACCTTGGGCTTAGGGGGCCCTTGTACCTGGGCCTCCTAACCCAGGGCACAGCCAGGTGAGCTCTGCCTACTGGAGACTCTGGCTTTGTGGGAGGTCTGACTCACTCCTCACCTTCCAGCATTTTCCCCTGGTAGCCTCAGTCTGCAGGGATCCAGGGTTCTTGGCACGGATGGCACACAATCCACATACCTCTATTACCAGGCTGGCAGGCAGCCCTGGAAAGGGACAGAGAAACACACAGGTGGACCTGAATCTGATGTAACCCACCTTTTAACAGCACCCATCTTACTCCCTATTATTTCTTGGCACTAATAAGAGACTCAACCAACTTTTAACAAACACTTTTTTATTAGAAAAGTAAAAAATATTGCATAGGTCTTAATACTTGAACATCAAGTGTATTCATGAACAGCAAGTATCTTCATGTAAACAGTTCTAGATGGAAGACCCACATGGCACTCCTCTGGGGGTGGGGTTCCAGCCCCCACCCCAATCAGCCCTACCCCTCACAGATAAATTCTTCAGTACACATCAGGGGATGGGCCAAATGCAGCTCCCAGGTGTATTTTTTTCTCAAGTGTCAAAGATCCCCCAAGTGATCCCAACACCCACCCCTTTCTACTCTTACATTCATGCGTCTGTAAGATAGCTGCCTAGAACAGGTCAGTAGTGAAGCTCCGGATCAAAAAAACAACAACAACAGATGCAAAACCAAAGAACAAACACATTTGGCCCCTTCAGACCATGAGATACACAAAACACCTCGATGACTTCCCCCCTCCCACAGGGCCAGCTACCTTGAGCACACACCAACTGTAATTGTAGAGGCCAGTGCAGCCCAGCTGCTCTCCTGGCTGTCACACCACTGTTGTCTTAACTGTCAGTAACAATAAAAATAAGGTACATGCTACATACACATCCAGCCAGAAGCCTGGTTGGCCCCTAAACCTTAGTTTCATGCTACAGTACTGAGGGACAAGTGTGTGTCCCCAATGAGAAGCCACCTACACCCACTTCACTGAGCTCCCCAGGAAACACTCTCTGCCACCTCACCTTCCTCCCCTCAAGTGGCTGTTGTCAGTTCTCTAACTGGCAGGCAACAGTTCCTCCAATGTCCTGCCAATGTCCACCCCAAAAGTTCAGTTGTCTGCTGTGGGGGCTGTGTCAGCCCCTCAGCCCCGAGTTCAACACTCCTCAATGAGCAGCTGTTCTGAGCTGTACAGCTTCTTCTTGATGACTCGGAAGCCAGTGCTCAGCGTCAGGGACTGGCTGAAGCCAGGGACGAAGGGAGAGTTGGCGGAGCTAAACAGTCCTTGGATCTTGGGCCAGAGGCGTGAGTCCAGGCGCAGCACGAGTGTCAGCTGGAAGGTGGGTACCAGGCTGGGGTCGAGGGCCAGTTGGCCCACGCTGTGGCAGCTCTTGCCTTGTTCTACGCAGATGTCCAGCAGCGCCCCCCGCAGGCCGCACGGCTCACTGTAGGCCAGGCGCAGTAGTTCTTTGCCCACCTGGCTCACCAGCTGGCCCGGCATCAGCAGACGCGCGGGGCGCCGCGAGCCCAGTCGTGCCTGGGCCAGGCTCTCCTGCAACAGCTGCATCAGGTTGGCACACAGGTGCTCGTCCTCAGGGTCGCTGAGCAGCTCAAAGTCAGGGAGGGACACCCCATCCAGGTACGCCGAGTCTAGAAGGGAGAGCACACAAGGGAGGGTGTAAGGGCATGTCGCTCACGGGGGAGATGCTGTTTCGCCAAGAAACCAACACTCCCTCCCACTCCGTGCCTCAGTTTCCACCCCACACTCGTGCCCTATACTCCAATACCCCTCCTCCACTCCATCATCCCTCCGAAATCTGGGTTCTGATGGGATAGGAAGACAAGGTGGGTTTGACTCCTTCCTGCGCGGCCCTCCTCTCACCTTCCCGGCCCCCGAATCTCTGCCGGTCCCCGCCCACGGCTTACCTTCCTCGGGTCCAAAGCCACTGTTGCTGCTATCCAGAGACTCGCAGTCCGAGCTCTCCAGGCTCGCGCAGCGGCCGAGCCCCTCTCCTCGGGCCGCCGACCCCCAGGCTGAGCGCGGTGGCTGATCTGGGGTGGGAGTTCGGGACGAGGACGAAGACGACGAGGAAGAGAAAGACGAGAAGCGATCCCAAAGGCTAGGCATGGTGAGGACCGACACCAGGACGTCTGCGGATGAGCTCAGGGTGCGGGAGCGCAGAAGACGCTGTAAGACAAGAGGGGCACGGACCGGCGTCAGTCTGGGGGCTGGACCAGACGGAGAACGCTAGGACCCGTACGACTGAGACCTCCCCACCCAGGCATCGGCAATCGAGAAGGGACACTCACCAGCTAACACGGTCAGCGAGAACTGCAGGGACAAGTGCCGCTTGAATGAGTGCGCGAAGTGGTGCCAACCCCCGAGCGTTGCCCAGACTTGTCCTTTCCAACCACTCTCACCTCCCCCTTGGCCTGCCGCGGTCCCTAGCACCAGCGCGGAGAGGCCTATAAGGACTAGCGCAGAGAAGCCACGCCCCGTTAGTGCTGCAGCCCAATCCAGACCCGGGAGTGTGGCCCGCCTCGGCCAATGGGCTCCGGGCGCACGTTCGCAACGTTCTCTCTTGCCCGGTGACAGCGATCTGGCCCCGCCCCCGCTGAGCCCCAGCACTTACTCGGCCGAACCCCGAGCTGTGACCACGCCCCTTTTCTGGAAAGGATCCGCGGCGGCTGCAGCTGCCAAGGTCCCCGAGGGCGCTCGCGGCAGGGGAGGATCAAGGAAAGAGTTGTTTATTATAGGGTCGTGTTGCTGGGGGATGGGGTAGCCCGTCACCACGCCGGGGGAGAAGCAGGGTAACTTGAAGAAGCGGCGGGCAGGGAAAACGGTTGCCCCAGAGTCTGGGAACCTGGAGCTAAAAGTACAACTGGGCGCAAGGTGGATGCTGGTGGGACGGCGGCGCGGAGAGCTGACTTGAACCTGGCCGGTTCTCGCGCACGTACCCCACGCTAACCCTGCCCTGCGAATGATCCGGATATGGGGATGGGGTCCAAAGACTGGGCTCCCCCTGCCCCGCAGCCCACTTGCCCACCCTCCTGTTACTCTCCGGCCCCATGGGATGGGTTAATGAGGGAGTCCGTGCCCGCTATAAGCGCCTGGCCCCCAAACCGTGTCCGTTCCCACCTCCCAACTGCTTCCAAGGAGAGGGTGGTTAAAGGAGTGTTGATGGGGTTCCTAGCGCCTGATCCTGGGGCTGAGAACTAGGACCCACATCAGATGGACGCACTGACCCACCCATGTCCCTACAGATGTCCGCGGTGCAAAAGTGACTCCCCGGCCCACTGCGGCCGAGAGCCCTCGGGCGTCCATCGGGTCCTAGCGCCCCTGCTTCAAAGAGCTTTGTGTAAGAGCCCCTGAGAGTTGCATCAGGACCGCGGATCTAGATCTCTGGGAAAGCCCGGGAGTGCAATGGCCATCCCAGCTTTCATCATTCAGGCGGGGCCACAGGAAATCTGCCTTGACAGCGGTACTGGAAGACAGATATGATTGCAGAGGGTGGGAATAGGTCTCGACTTTTATTTCTTTAAAGATTTATCAATCTGGAACAAGGGGATCCTGATTCAAGGGGGAACCAAGCTTACATCAGATGCTTCCTCTCCGGGGCAGGCGGGAGCCTAACCAGATCAGACAGGTGGGGCCTCTCCTCTGGGCAGGATTGCACGTGACCGCAGGCTCCTGCTGGAGAGGTCGGGCTACTGCGTCCCCACCCCCACCCCCATTTAAAAACAAAAAGTCTGACCCGTGGTCCAACCTTGCAAATCTAGACAGAACTGGAAAGGACGGGAATTCAAGCCCTGAACCCCATCCTCATTTTCTAGATGAGAAACCACGTGTGGAAACAATTTTATTGATAAAAAATAAATTAGGGGACTCAGATTAGGAGAGATCTCAGATTAGGATTCAGATGAGGAAACTGCAGCAGAATCCAATAGTCCCTTAGCCTCTGGGGCTTGCAAGGCCTGAACTCTGGTTCTTTCTCGAATATCTTCCAAACTGCTGTCACTTGCTGTGAACTTTTAAGACACCAGGTCAGGGTAGTTATGTGAAGTGCTTGGAGGGCTGGGGGTAAATGACATCCTCTTGAGATCATCTTGTACTGAAGTGGGAAGAAGAGAGTTGGGGATTACCAGTATGATGTGTCTTTCTGTTGCCCAGAAGAGATGATCAGAGAATTAATTCATCAGAGGACCATCCACTCCTCTCACCAGACTGACTGGGCTGGGGACACCTGAGACAGCAGGAGATAGATTTAGGATATTGGGGTATTTTTCTTCTCTCTATCTCTCAGAGAAAGAAAATAAAAGGAAGTATTTCAGAAAACTGTGGAACACTACTTTAAGAAAAATAGAGATAAAAAAAAAAAAAAGTGGATCTTCATAAGCAAAACAATCCAGAACCATTTTGGTAGGGTCAGTTTACTAGGAATCATTCATTCACTCAGTAAACTTTATTGACTTTAGAGAGAAACATTGATGAGAGAAAACATCGGTTGGCCCTCCTGGGGATCAGGCCCACAAGCTCGGCATGTGCCCTGACCAGGAATACAAACTGGTAACCTCCTCCTACATGGGTCAATGCTCAACCACTGAACCACACCAGTGGGCTAAGCACCTTTCTTCATTCACTGTCTTATTCTGTCAGTAAAACAGCTTTTCCGAAATGGGAAGGACTGTGTTAATGGGCACTAAGTAATTTTGTTTCTTTTCAAAAGAAATCCATTAATGTTGTTGTCTGTGTTTTTTTAAAAGTGATGAAAAAAAGGCAGGCAGCCTTCACCCTGGAACATTTTCCCAGAGTACAAGGGAGTGGGGTACAGGGTGAAAAACCACCTGCAAGGAGGCCTGGCTGAGGCCTAGTAGGAGGAGGGAAGAGAACTCTACATGGGTTTCCACTGATACTCTTCACTCTTGTGGAGGAGGGGGCAGAAACCCATCCCTTTGTCTGCCTGGAGAACCACTGGAGCTGGAAGGGTAATTTTCCAACTGTTAGTCCCTCTGAGGAGCCAGGGTGAAGGGTCTTGGTTCGCCCTATGAGGTGAAGGGTAGGGTCCCTTCCACCTGGCTGGAGATAAAAAGACTGTAACTTACTTCACAGACCCTTGAAGCAGATGGGGTGGGGGGAACCCAGAAATGTGGCACTCCTAGGAGGAGGCATCTCCATCCTCTGGCCTTTGAGCCAGGCCTCTTCAGAGTCCTCAAAGATCCTATAAACCCTACATTTGATGTGCTTCTCTCCCCCTCCTACTCCTCTTGGGCTTAGGCTGGCTACAGGTCAGACTTGCCTTGGAGACCTAGCTCTGGCATCCTTTCCTCCAGAAAGGCCTCCCCAGTGCCCCCACTCCAAACCTTGATCCCTTAGGTGCCCGTGCTCAGCTCATCCTTACACTGTGTGCATATGTCTGTTAATTGTTTCCATCCTGGCAGGTGTGGCTCAATTGGCTGAGCATCATCCCATACACCAGGAGCTTGCCAGTTTGATTCCCAGTGTGGGGCATGAAGGAGGCAGCCAATGGATGTTTCTCATCAATGTTTCTATCTCTCTCCCTTCTTCTCTCTCTTAAAAAAAAATCAATAAAAACATAATTGTTTCCACTTTCATCTGTCCACTGGACTATGAGCTTGTTGAGGATAGTAGTCTAGAGTCTTCTTAACTTCCAGTGGCTAGCACATAGTAGAGGCTCAGTGAATATTCATTGGGTGAAAAAATGAATGAATGAATGAATGAATGAGTGAATGAATGAATAAATGGATGGCTAGATTAAGCAAGAAGGTGGAATTTCCCAGAATTATCAGATTTACCTCTGAATTCCCAGCATCTAGGTGGGCCTTTGGGTGGCCCTTCAGAAGACCTTGATGCTACTAGCTTTCTATCCCCTTTCTGACAAGTGCTGCCAAGAGCCTTGGATGTATCTGAACATTTCCCTTCCTCCTCAGCTAAGGTCTGGGAGTGGAGCTTAGTTCTTCCAGTAACCTAGTTCTTCCAGTTGGAATATCAGCAACCCCAGGAAGTTGGGGAGAGAGGTGACATACAGATGGCTGACTTGATGTGGGGTATCTTTAAAGCAATTAGTACTTTACTTTCAAGTGCCTCAAGATACTGTAAAAACATTTTTTAAAATTGAGATGAAATTTACATATAGTAAAACTATTTAAAAGTGAACAATTCACCCTGGCTGGATTGTTCAGTGGTTAGAGCATGGCCCGAGGACCAAAAGGTCCCGGGTTTGATTCCAGTCAGGGTCGTGGGGTAGGGGGCAACTGATTGTTGTGTCTTTCTCACATATTCTCACATTGATGTTTCTTTCCCTCTCTCCCTTCCATTCTCTCTAAAAGTCAATGGAAAAATATCCTTGGGTGAGGATTAACAAAATAAATACATAAATGAGTAAAAGTGAACAATTCATTGGCATTTAGTGTATTCACCAACTCAATTTAATTATAAAACATCTTTATCATTTCAAAGGAGACCCCCCCAAACCCATCAAGCAGTTACTCTCCTCAAAATACTTTTGAAGTTTATAGTCCTTCCTTGTAGGGAGTAAGGCTGCTCTTTTGCATAGCTCCAGAGGGCACCCTTCCCATTAGAGTTTCTGCATTTACATATGTCTTCTGGGGAGTTGTGCTCCTGGGAGCATTGGTCACATAGACACAATGTGCAACCTGAATCTGCATCAAGACAACTCTGATGGGGAGACTGGCTGTGGGCTAGTGTCACGTCCCCGGTTACTCAGGCCCATGGAGTTAAACAGGCCCCAAGTCCCAGTCTCTGTGGCCAGAGCCCTGACCATGCAGATATTGTCTCTTCCTGGGCTCTGCTTCATTCCCGTGGGACCCGCTGCAGCCTGCAATTTAAAGTCAATGAGCACTCATGCCTGGCCACCTGCCCCTCCCTGTTCAGGCGGTTTCTGTCCTGCGCACCGGTTCCCAGGGCCTCAGTCTGGCAAGTTGCCCAAGTCGAGTTAAACCAGATCTTGGGGTGGGGGTGTGATTCTGGGAACCCCAGAATTCAGGATGGGAACCTCTGAAGGCCAGGCAGCTTGTCTGCATGGCTCTGGCCCACAGCCCTTTGGAAACTTCTCAGCAAGTAGGTAGCAGGAGGAGACAGTGGGTCAAGGGTCAGCGTGGTGGGGGAAGGTCAAAGTGTGGTGATAGGAGGTGGGACAGTGAAGCTGGCAAAGGTGTTCCCAGGACTTCTGTGGGTTTTTTACTTGAAAAACAGCAAACAACTAGTCAAAATAGCAAGATTATAAATGTACCTGGTTTCCTTGGAGGGCTGTGAAAGCTATTGGCAGCCCAGGGCTTATAGGATTTTCACAGTGCTATTGGAGGGAGAATTAAAAACTCAGTGGGGAATCTTTCTTGCAAACCAAGCTACTCTTTCAAATGGAAATACTAACAATACATTGTATTGTGCAGCC